CAGGAGTAGATTCCATCTCAAGGAACCACCTTCTTTGTTCCTCCGTAAGAAGCAACTCTTCAGCCGTTCAAGTTTGGTCATGAGATGGCAGCAATGCGGTCCCATCTCCAGGCGCCACGTCTGATTCTAGTTCTCTTGCTGTTTCCACCACATCTGCTGTTACTTCCTCCACTCAAGTCCTGATCCCCTCAAAGTCCTCCATGAGGGTAACAATCAACTTCTTCCAAACTCCTGTTCATGTTGATATTCTGACCTCTTACCATGAATTGTGAATGTCCTTACTGGCATCTAGAAGGGTGAATTTTTTGAGAATCGTTTCCATTTACTTTGCCCAGATCCATCAGAGGAGTCACTGTCTATGGCAGCTCTAGCCTTATGAAATGTGTTTCTTAAATAACAAGATTTGAAAGTCTTAATTACTCCTTGATCCATGAGCTGCAGAATGGATGTTGCATTAGCAGTCATGAGAACAAGGTGAATCTTGTACATCTTCATCAGAGCTCTTGGGTGCATTGGCAATGAGCAGTACTATTTTGAAAAGAATCTTCTTCTCTGAGAAGTAGGTTGCAGCAGTGGGTTTAAAATATTCAGTAAACCATGTTGTGAACAGATGTGCTGTCATCCAGGCTTTATCCCATTTACAGAACACAAGCAGAGTAGATTTAGCATAATTTTGAAGGGCCCTAGAATTTTCAGAATGGTAAATGAGCATTGGGCTCCAGCTTAAGGTCACCAGCTGCATTAGCCCCTAACAAGGAGTCAGCCTGTCCTTGGAAGTTTTGCAGCCAGGCGCTGACTTCTCCTCTCTCTCTGTGAAAGTCCTAGATGGCATCTTCTTCCAAAAGAGGGCTGTTTTGTTTACACAGAAAATCTGTTGTTTAGCATAGCCACCATCTTGGGTAATTTTAGCTAGCTCTTCTGGAGAACTCGCTGCAGCTTCTCCACCAGCACTGGGTACTTCCCCTTGCACTTTGATGTTATGGAGATGACTTCTCTCCCTAGACTTCATGAACCCACCTCTGCTAGCTTCAGACTTTTCTTTCCCAGCTTCCCCACCTCTCTCAGCCTTCACAGAATTGAAGAGAATTAGGATCTTGCTCTGGATCAGGCTTTGGCTTAAGGGAATGTTGTAGCTGGTTTGATCTTCTATCCAGACCACTCAAACTTTCTCCATCTCAGCAATATGGCTGTTTCACTTTTTTACCAGGCTTGTGTTCACCAGAGCAGCACTTAATTTCCTTCACGAACTTTTCCTTTGCATTCACAACTTGGCTAACTGGTTGGCACAAGAGGTGCAGCTTTCTGCCGATCTGGGCTTTCAACATGCCTTCCTCACTAAGTGTAATCATTTCAAACTTTTGACTTGAAGTTGACCATGCAACTCCTCCCTTTCACTTGAACACTTTGAAGCCATCGTAGGATTATTAATTGGCCTAATTTCAATATCACTGTGTCCCAGGGAACAGGAAGGCCCAAGGAAAAGGAGATAGATGGGGGAACAGGTGCTCAGTGAAGTAATCATAACATCAGAACACATGCAACATTTAAGGATTAAGTTTGTCGTCTTATATGAATGGGGTTCATGATGTCCCAAAACAATTACAATAGTAACATCAAAGATCACTGATCACAGATCACCATCACCAATATAATAGTAATGAAAAAGTTTGAAATATTGTGAGAATTAACCAAAATGTGACATGGAGACATGAAGTGAGCAAATGCTGTTGGAAAAGTAGCACGGTTAGACTTCCTCGATGAAAAGTTGCCACAAACCTGCAATTTGTAAAATCCACAATATCTGCAAAGCACAACAAAACAAAATGCAATCAAATGAGGTATGCCCATATGTGGGAACTTTGTATTATCTTTGCAATTTTTCTATAAATGTAAAACTATCCTAAAATAAAACTTTATTTCAAAAATAGGATATAAAGATTTATTCATTGGGGGGCGATGTTCTTTTCTCTAAATGATAATTCCCCTTTGATATCCTGTAACTTAAACACAAAGATCCATGGCTAACCACTATTAATACCTCTTATGTTAGCTAACAGCGGAATGGGAAGGCGGGCAGGGGGTGGAGATGAAAGAAAAGAAGTCTTTAATACCTAAATAAATATGCTGTATTCATACAAAAGATTTTTTTTATTTATTTTGAGAGAAAGAGGCAGGGAGGGGCAGAGGCAGAGGGAGAGAATCTTTTTTTTTTTTTTTTTAAGATTTTATTTATGTATTTGTCAGAGAGAGAGCACAAGCAGAGGGAGCAGCAGAGGGAGAGGGAGAAGCAGACTCCCCACTGAGCAGGGAGCCCAATGCAGGACTCAATCCCAGGACCCTGGGATTATGACCTGAGCCGAAAGCAGACATTAACCGACTGAGCCACCCAGGCATCCCGGGAGAGAGAGAATCTTAAGCAGACTCCACGCCCAGTGCATGAGCCCGACGCAGGACTTCCATCTCATGACCCCAAGATCATGACCTGAGCTGAAATCAAGAGTCAGACGCTCAACTGACTGAGCCACCCAGATGGCCCTGTATCCATACTAAAGTAAGGAAGAAACACTCATAAGTGTCCAGTGGTCATAGCTGGTATTTATGACTTCCTTCTTCCACGAGCCAGTCTCCATTCCTGTTGCTCTCATCAGTAAACACTTCAGCTGGGATGCTTTGCCTGAGGGGGTGACCCTTCCTGTTTCTGTTTCAGTGCTCTTTTGCTGTGCAATGAACCACCCCAAAACCCAGTGACTTAAAACAACAGTGATTTATTATTTCTCATGATTTGGGGGGCCAAGGGTTCACGCAGGTCTTCACTAAGTGGTCCTACCGCACATGGCATCATCTAGCCATTACTCAGCCACATGCAGAGGGCCACTGAGCTGCACCAGAAGGATCAAAAAGGCTTTGCTCGTAGATTTGGAGATTTTTTTTTTAATCTTATTTTATTATGTTTATCACCATAACATCATTAGTTTTCGATGTAGTGTTCCATGATTCATTGTTTGCGTATAATACCCAGTGCTCCATGCAGAATGTGTTCTCTTTAATACCCATCACCAGGCTAACCCATCCTTCCACCCCCCTCCCCTCTAGAACCCTCAGTTTGTTTCTCAGAGTCCATAGTCTCTCATGGTGCATCTCCCCCTCCGACTTCCCCCCCTTCATTTTTCCCTTCCTGCTATCTTCTTCTTTTTTTTAACATGTAATGTATTATTTGTTTCAGAGGTACAGGTCTGTGATTCAACAGTCTTACACAATTCACAGCGCTCACCATAGCACATAATTTGGAGATTTTGAGCCTCAGTGATCTCTCCTTTCGCTTGTGACGAGCTTTGGCTTCCTCACAGCATGGTAGTTTCAGGGTAGTTGAACTTAAAAGACAACTGGCATTTAAAAGAGATGAAACAGAAACCACCAAACCTCTTAAGGCATGGCTCAGAAGTCCCACAATGCCACGTCTGCTATATTTGGCTCTCAAAGCTAGCCGCGAGGCCAGCCCAAATGAAAGGGGAAGGGAAGTACACTCTCCCTCTTGCTAAGAGGAACAGCAAAGAATGTGTGCCCATCTGCGATCCACTAAACTGGTCGTGGAAATTTCCTCTAAGGTAAATTCCCAGAATTGGCACTGTGACCTCAAGGGTGTTCATTTTAAAAAATTTGACACATGTCCAAATGGCCCTCCATTCAGTTTTACCAGTCTGCATTCTCATTAGTGGTGTTTACCAATCAACTTCTCTGTGCCTTCACCAACACTGGGTGTCATTACCCTTTTGAGCCTTTACTAGTTTAAAGAAGGGTAAAGTCTGATTGTTGTAGGGTTTTGTTTTTTGGGTTTTTTTCCACATGTGTGAATACATTGACACTGAGCATTTTGCATGTGTTTATTGGCCATGTCTAGATGTTCTTTTTTTGAATTGCCTAATCTTGTACTTTGCCCATTCTTTTCTTCAGCTATTCTTGGTTTGAGTGTTGATGTTGGTCTGAAATCTGGGTTATTAAAGTTTAACCAACCTCAGGCAACCCTACTGGGTTTTTAAATATTATGAATTACTCTTGCCCAAAATAATCTATCTTCATTTCCATTCATTTATTCTTTATTTCCCTGGATCATCACCATTTTCAGTCCTTTTCTTTTCTTAGATTCACAACATTAGAACTGCAGATCACCTCGGTTTTCAGTTGAGGCTATTGACACAAAAGAAGAAAGGGTCTTGTCCAGAGATTCTGAAGGTGGGTGGGGGGGCCTCCTCAGTTTGGACCCATAGGACCAGCCTTTCAGCTTCTGGCCAAAATGACACCAACAATGCATTTAGCCCCTTTACATAAAGGTTTGTGTCCTTAGGTCTGGCACTAAGAAATTCAGTCTATCTTGCCTGGATCCTAAATTCTCCCTGCCTCTAACTGGCTCTACCTCTTGCTATGTGGCATTTGATAAATTAGGTTCACTTTGGGGCCTTGGATTCTCCAATTAAGCAAGAGCATTGAACTTTTTTTAAGTTTTTATTTATTTTGAGAGAAAGCACAAGCAGAGACAGAGGGAGAGAGAGACTCTCCAGCAGCCTCCACACCCAGCTCAGAGCCTGATGCGGGGCTCGATCTCACAACCCTGAGATCATGACCTGAGCCGAAACCAAGAGTTGGATGCTTAACCAACTGAGCCACCCAGGCACCCCAGGAGCATTGAACTTCTGCTAGATGACTCTAAGACATACTTTTTCCATTGAAGTCTGTTATTTAAGAGGGGCATTTATAGAGTATGCATTAGGGAAAAGCAGCATAGATGGAAGGCAAACCCTTTAAGAAATTGGCTTCAGCCTAAGAGGTCTATTTTTGAAGGGAACTTAATCAAAACTTTTTTAAAACAGTTTTTAATTACAGGTTTGAAACTTTGTGTTATTTGTAATACCTTTTTAGAAGCATGAAAATAGCATTTCTCTCTGTACCAACTTTGTGCTTTTCCATTTGGTAAACACTGATTTTATTTCTCTCCGTGCCTGTAGGAGTAAACCAAGCCAACTCAGCACTTCCTGTTTACCTCCTGGTTATACGTATCATAGATGGCAACAAACCTGATTCCTGAAATAAGCTCCCTTGGTTGACTTCTGCATTTTCTGGTGAGGCAACCAGCCTGTCAATACTTGAACAATGAGTTTGGCTATCAAAGGCTTGTTCTGACATTACCCCTCCAAACTGTGGGTGGAAAGGAGAATCACTTAATGTAATGGTAGGGATAACATAATAGTAGGATTTACAGTTAAATGGGGGCATCACACAGTACCTTTCACTGGAGAATATCAAAACAGTTTCAACTTTTAAGCTTGGAACATGTGACATGAGCGAACACAAAGATAGCAAATAAGCGGGTTTCCTCTGGAAAGTCTCAGTGCTCGAAATATCTATTTTTTAAGGAAGAAAACTGAGTTTTATGTGTGTTGAGTGACTAAAGTGTAAGCTTAGAAATATTTTATGTTTCCATCACAGTTTATTCTGCTTCGCATAAATCAGCAGAGCCAACCATAATTTACCATTTACTAGGGCTTTCTCAGTTGTTTTACACTCACGTCAGACACACCTTCGTACAAGTCCCTCCGGGTCAATAGTTTAGAAATTCTGCCTCTTCCATCCCCTTCTCCTCTCAACACTTATGGAAATATATGCTAATTGGAACAGAAGCAGCCTACCCAGCTAATAGGGTTAGACCACTCTTAACACAAGATTAATGAGATAGAAGTTTAAGGAAAAAACAACATTTCTCAAGCAGTAAGGGTGTAGATGCCAAGTAAAAGCCAACACCCCTTCTGGATCAGTCAGACCCCAAGCTTTGTTTGCCCTTGACTTAAAGGAGTGGAAGAGGAAATCTTGTCCATCCGGCCCTGCCGTGCCCTCTGTTGCCACCCTCTGACTCAGCATAGCTGGCTCTCCCACCTTCCCTGAGGCCTCGGCTCAGCAGTCACCGTGGTGGAAAACAAGACCACAGACTCAAGATGTAGAGTGAGACCCCACACACTGCTTACTGGGCAGACACGCCGCCGAAAGGACTGAGGAGGCACGAGCATACCACAGGGGGCCCCCTGTATTCGTGGCTGCTTTTGTAGGTGTGTGATCGAAGTGCATAAAAGAGGGCATTCAGAGACAACGGATATTTAAAGTCACAGATACTGGCAAGAAGTTGTTTGTAAAATGTTCTACATCCCCACTGTGTGACTGAACCATGGGTCAGCAAACATTGAAATACCTTTCAAGCCCAATCAGGGGCTTAGAGAACAGTATCTGCTAAGAGGAAGAAAAGCCTAAGTATCTTATCAATTTGCCAAGACTGTAATTGACATAGTGTGTGATGAATCTATATTACTGGGGACGAGGGGCTGGTTTCCTCTAGATTTCCACCTCTTCCAGGGTCCAAAGCGTGGCACACGCTCAGCTCTTTCTACACGCCCTAAATTCTTCCATTACTTACCAATCACACATGCACACACACAAGCAGGGGGAGTGGCAAAGAGAGAAGCAGGCTCCCTGGCTGAGCAGGGAGCCCAATGTGGGCCTCGATCCCAGGACCCCAGTATCATGACCTGAGCCGAAGGCAGCCGCTTAACTGACTGAGCCACCCAGGTGCCCAATTGCTGATATTGTTAATTAAAATATGTTTTTATCGGGGCACCTGGATGGCTCAGTCGGTTGGGCATCCAACTCTTGATTTCCAATCAGGTCGTGATGTCAGGGTCCCAGGATTGAGCCCCATGTCAGGCTCCCCACTAGGCACTGAGCCTGCTTGAAGATTCTCTCTCTCCCTCTCCCTTTGCCCCTCACCCTGCTCGTGTGCTCTCTCTCTCTCTCTAAAATAAATGAATAAATCTTAAAAAAAAAAAAAAAGGAAAAATATGTATTGTTTTGGTTCACAAATGGTTAAGTGCTTCTTTTGCTTTAATTCTGTCATCAGCCCACGCCATTAAATAAGAAACACAGAAATTCATTTATAACAGTTGAAAAAATATGTCCAATGATGACAAATCCTTTGATAAAACATACTTTGGGTAAATGCCTAATTCAGCTCTTTTTGTTTAGACTCAATCTGGAAACCGTTCTCCCCTCCAAAAGCCAGAAGAGGCTAACTCTGTGGCACAGCAGAGACAGACAGGAGCAGAACTCTGAGCCCTGGGATCAGAGGGAGTAGAGGGAGACTGGGACCTACAGGGCAGTGGGGGCAGAGAGGGGTCTGTTCCCGGACGGCACCTGACTTCCATCTGGTCCCTTCCCTAGTGAGGAGTCTGGCCCTCTTTATTTCCCCTTTTGTGGTCTCTGGGAGACCAGCAACACTGTTTTCGATTACAGTGATGGTTAGGGATCTGCAGCAGGCGGGACGCTGGGGTCCAGAGAGGGCAACCCGGGTAAGCAGGCCGCCTAGATAATGCTGGCTCAGCTGGGCTCCCAGCCACCTGGTTATGTGATGGACTGCACTCACATTCCGGGGGGACGGGACCGGCACCTCGGAGACTGCATTCAGACGTTAAAATACACACCCACAAAACAGCCATCCCAGACCCCTAATCTTACTTTATGACCAAACTGTAATTACATTACAGCAATTACTTGAATATTACATTTTTATTACTGTTATGTCATTATGTCTACTAGGAAAAAAATATGCCTACTTTAACCAATAAAATTCTTAATGACTCATTTAAGCTCTGTCTACATGAAACCCCTGACTTAAACATTTTGGTCAAAATAATTTTTCAGGCCTGGGGGAAGAAGAGGGTTATCCTTCACCTCCATGATTGACCAAAAAGCAGGAAAACTTCCATTTGTAGATGTACTTCTAGAGATGGAAAAGTCCTAGCCCAGGCTAGTCAGAAAGTTACGATGGTTACGCTTAAGAGCTGTATTTATAAAGCCATCAATTCTTTATCATCTGTTGATCAGTTTTAACTACTGACAAAAAGTAGAGCTGAGATCTCAGGACACATCCGCCTCTCCGTCCTCAAATGCATGGAGGCACATTTGATATACTCCGAAAATGTTGAGTCAGTCGACTGCAGAAGGATTCTTTAGAGGCCGAGTAGGCCAGTTTTGCAGCCCTTCTACTCTGGAAGCCAGTGATTTATTTAGAACTCACTCAGGACACTCCCCAAATAAAGTTACTCATGTGAGGTACTTAGGTTTTTTAATCATTATATTTTTCTTCATTACCTCTTTTTAGGTAGCGTCTCATTTTCTGAATGCCTTATCTTGCTTAAGATGTCAGGCTGTCAAACTGAGTACATTTTCTCAGCCGGGGGGACCCTCTCACCCTAACCGCTTCCAGCTTAACCCAAGCTGTGTCCTTTCCTAAGCAGCGCAGGCCTAGACAAGTGTAGCGTGCTGTCTTTCTCAGAAATAATTCTACACTTTGAGAGCCAGAATTCAGGCCCTTGAATTTGGAGAATTGACCATATGAGCTGACTAAGTCAAAATATCCAGATTTAACTGCTTTTGAATTTTATCCACACATACTTTACCCCCAAATAGTCTACGTATTGAACAAACACCTTCCTTCGAGAAAATGAAGTTGGCTAACAGGTTTTGCTTCCCCTCGGTAAACCTAGCCCAAGGTTTGTTCTTTGCCTCATTTTTCTTAATCCTTTTGGCAAATATATGTCCTATATAATTCAGTGCCTAATTCTAAAGTTATGTGCATCTGCTGGACATATACACTGTTAAACATTCATGACTGCCTACAAATGTGAAAAGTATTACCAGGTCTATTTTTAACATTGTTTTGGCAAGGCTGTTGCTGTGGAAAAAAAAAAAAATCCTATAGAATCTTAATGAGAAAACTGAATGAATCTTTGAAATGTGGTTGTGATTCTCTCACTTATTAAGTGGTGATGTCACTGAAAAGCAAGAAACCGAAGCCTCCCTCATTTGCCGGCATGCTCTAGGGCTACACCAGAAGGGAAATGAAACTGATCTTGAGTATGGTTTGTGCTGAACTGTGCCTTCTCCCACTGCTCCGGGGGCCACATACGTCCCTGCCCAGGACATGTCTCGCACACTTGGTCTTTCATCTCTGCAGGCCTGCGTCAATGGAAGGGTGCACTGTCTGCATGTGTTTTTTTAGGGAACGTGATCTGCCTGCTGGCTCTTTCTCTGTTCATTACCCACATTTGTGTGAGAGAAAATAACCACCTTGTTCCAGCTGTTGGAGCAAGACCGGAGTTCGCTCCAGCTCACCTGAGTCCCCGGGGTCACTTTATTAGCAAGTGGCAAGAAGTCCAAAGAAGTCTGGCAGGAGGGGAGAATGTGAGCCTATGAAGGAGGCCTTTCCTCCTGTCCTCGCTCCCAACCCCCACATCTCTCCAGACCTCGTTGCCACCCAACATTTGAATCCTACCAAGGGGGGCATGAGACCTAGCGGAACAAGGTGTCAGGCTGTTTGATTCTGGGCAGCAAGTGGGCTGGCTGGAGCACCAGGCCACGGGGCCCACGGGGACACGCGCTCCTGGCTTGGGCTTCACTTGCCAAGCCTTGTGTCCCTGCACTGACTTGTGTCAGCCAAGATCAAGGTCCCCTCAGAGGGAGCATTGTTTCTTGTTTCTCTACTTTGAGGAGGCACTTCTTGTCATCCTTCTGCCCTGACAGGACACACTTTTCTGGTTTGTATCAACTTGCTGTGTGTACTCACAGGAGCCCTGGGACTGGTCCTGCAGGAATGACGCCACAGCATATGGATGGGGCAGAGTTCTGCTGCTTAAATGTTGGCTGGGTTGGCAGTCAGTATTAATGGTGTCATTACTTCTAGGGAAAAAGTGCTACAGAAGAAGTTATTTTGTCCCGGGCAAAATGGCTCATTGTTCCAAAGTCCCAGGATCACCCCTAGCTTCAGGAGGAGGGTTTTTCGTTATCATTCAGCCTAAAGCCTACAGAACCAGTCTCTACAGAGAGAACCATGTTCTGTTCAGATTCGAGACCAGTTTGGTTCTGGCATTAGGAGAAATGGAATGTAAGCGGTGGCCTACCTGTTCTCCATAAATCTGCCATAAAACCATGGGATCACTGGAGCTTAGAGCAGAAAGAAGCCTCAAGCCCTATAAGGTCCAGTTGCCACTTTCCAAGATGGGCCCACAAACTTGAGGCACTGGCCCTCACTGGCCTCAGCCCCCAAGCCTGCTTCTCCCCCCACATCCATTCTTCCCCCATCCTGGTGCTCTAGATCTTGGCGGGGGGGGGAGGATTCTGATTCTTGGGCACGAACCCACTGGTGTTCCACTTCCTTCCACAAGTCCTTTGGGAAAGGCTTCTCTGACATCAATAACCCAGTGATGTCTACCATCCACACAAAAGGATGTGATGGCTCTCCACTGGCCATCCATGATTTCCAGAGGCTTCCAAAGGAACTAGTCCAGTCCTTGACCCAGTCCCAACCAAGCCAGCATGACACCCATTCTCACCAATGCTAGAGGACTCTGCATTTTTGCCTTGGCTTCCGGGGATCCTTTCCAGTCCACTGAGATGATACAAGAACCCATTCTATCAATCCTCACTCCCCACCCCACCCCCAGGACACTCTTGTTTCCACCCCCTTCACCCTCTCACTGAGATCCAGCTTCAGCTTGGTGGAAGAAATCCCCCGGAGCCAGCCTCCTGAATGTTTCCTCTGCAGAGAGACTCCTGCAGCCCAGAGCCCTGTCTGGACAGTGATTTGGACTAGTGCCCATCTTCTGTGGAGACAGCCCTACCCTCCTTTTAGTGTTGCTAACTCCAGCACCATGCATTTATTTATTCCTTTCTTCTGCCCTTCACCCCCACTGAAGTCCCAGATGCCTCACAGCAAAAGCTACGCTAGGGACGACACATGGCATTTGAACCCACCCGTGGAAGTCTCTTTGTCTTTGCAAAAAGGATATTAATTTGGCAGGTTAATTTGGTGAATCTATAAATCAAGCATGGGGATTCTGACTTCAAACTATTATATTTATGATGCTGCGTATTAGTTTAACAGATTCCACAGAAAGAATTCATTTGTTACAATAATGTTTTTATAAACCTCAAATAAATATTGGTTTTCCTTTTGGAGACTGCCTCTGACACACTAATATATTATTCTTATATTACAAACTCACCTAAGATCTGAACAAGACACCATTTGATGTGACATTCCGTCCTCCCGCCCAAGAGTGTGGCTGGGGAAGAGCTCCTCAGGGCTGGCCACCATATTGTTCTTCTCGGTGACCAGTTGCATATGCTTCTGCCATTGACCGAGATATCAAGCTCAGCCTTGATGATTAGTTCTAACTGATTAATTGTTGGCTAAGTAATCTACAAGCTCTGTATCCGTTAGCTACTGTCACATAACATACACTTCCAAACTCAGCTTAACCCAGTAAAGCTCTTATTGTTGATGAGTCCAGAGGTTGTCTACTCTCAGCTGGCTTCATCATGCATCTGTGATCTGCTGTGGGTTGGTAAGCAGCTGTGTTCTTCTTGGCTGGACACTTGGGAGTCAGGTGACTACGTCTGGTATAGGATGGCCATGGCTGAGACAACTGGTCTCTTCTCCGTGGTCTTACCCTCCAGCAGTTAGCAAGAATCTCTCATGGATTCTTGCTAACTGCTGGAATCCAGGTCTCTTGAGTCTCTTGAGTCCTAGGCTCAGAACTGGTATGGTGTCACTTCTGCCATTTTCTATTGGCCAAAACAAACCAAAGACCTGCCCAGATTCAAGGGGTGGGGGGAAAAAAGTTCTTCTTTAACTGCAAAGTGACCTTGCAAAGGATGTGGACAGGGAAGAGTGACAAAGCATGGATATTTTTGCAGTCAATCTACCAAAGCTTTGTTAATAGCTTTTATTTTCTTAAATCTAAATGTAGGTGACTGACTGAATGTCTTTATAATGCTAAATCTCTTTCAGTTGTATTTTTTTACATAATGTGCCAGCTAAGGAAACTAGAGCCTCTCGCAGTTTAAATTGCTTGCCAGGAGCTAGTAAGTGGCAGCACAGGACTAGAATCCAGATTTCCCGATGGCAAGTTCAGAGCCATTTCCAATATTCCACTCAGATGACCCCCTTTGGCCTGTGACATGCATTTATAAAAATAGTTTCTTATCTGGGGGCGGGAGCAGTGTGTGGCCATGTGGTGAGGTGGGGGTAAGACTCATTGCTCCAAATCAGGCCTGACCGCATGGTCCTGGTCTCTGTATCCCCTTAGCACAGTGTTGGAACCCCCAAGCCAAATAATCCCAGAAAGATACTGTACTCTACACACCACCCTTGGACACTACATTAAAGACTGACTCTGTGACTCTTGTTCACTTGAATTCTCTTATTTCTTGCTAAATTCGGGTCTTCCAGCTATGCCCCGCCTTAGCACTTTTGTCTGTTTCTACTGTTACGCTTCAACTTCTGGATGCATATCCCAAGCTCAGACCTGCTGCTTGCACCCTCAACCCCCTGCCCTCCTTTTCTGGAGGTCTTCTTGACATCTAAGGGTTATTGATTTCTTTCCCAGGACCCGGGCCCTCGTCGAGTTTCTATGGGAACAGCTGGTGACCTCACACCCTGCTCAGGTGTGCTGGAAACCATTTAAATGCAACCACTGGCCTTGGAGTTTTAATAAGAAACTTGACCCGGAACTCCTGGCTCTGTAGCAACTTGGTGGCAGCTCGGTGCCGGCTGGAGTGTGGCTTCCCCCCAGTCCAATCCTACAGAAGGACTGTAGAAGGTCGGGGTTCTGAGGGTTTGGGCACAGGCTGTGGCACAGCAGCTCCTGGGTCCGGAGGGGACAGCTTTGCTCAAGCCAGCCTCCCTCCTTTTCCTCCCTGGCAGGGGTTTGTTCTCCTGACATCTTCACTAGGGACCGTATGCTCGAGATGCAACAGGGGAGGCCAGGTCTGGGGCGAAGAGAAAAAGGTGCGAGGCACTTAGAGGTCGCGCCGGACGCTGCCCTTCGTCTCACACAGACACCACCCCCCTGCCCGACGCTGCTCGCAAGACCAGAAGGGGTGGAGTGTCTGCTTGTAACAGCTGAGTGAAAGGGTGTCCCCACAGGCGCCTGGGTGGCTCAGTTGGTTAAGCGACTGCCTTCGGCTCGGGTCATGATCCTGGAGTCCCGGGATCGAGTCCCGCATCGGGCTCCCTGCTCGGCAGGGAGTCTGCTTCTCCCTCTGACCCTCCTCCCTCTCATTCTCTCTCTCTCAAATAAATAAATAAAATCTTTAAAAAAAAAAAAAAAAAGAAAGGGTGTCCCCTTATAGAAGGAAGAAAAAGACTCTTCAAGGTTTGCTCGAGAATGATGAGATATGGCAGGTCTGAAAGAAGATTTCTTAGCCTCTCCCTCACCACTCCCAGATCTCCTGATAGCAAGCGAAGTGGAGGTGCGCACAAGACAAGGAGGTGAGAACTGCTTGCTTATTTGCAGTGTCCTTGGGGGAAAGGGGTGGGTTCTAAAAAACAAACAAACAAAAACATACAAAAAAGCCTGACACTCAATAAATAGACCATTTCCAGTAACCGAAGTCGAGCCGTTCCTGGGAGCTCCCGAGCCCCTTCTGTTTGTTGCTGTTCTCCAATTAGCCGAGAATGCCCACAGATTATGCTAACGCAGCACTAAGCCCCCGTGCCAAACACCTTCTCAGGTTTTTTTCCCCTCTGCATTCTGCTAATCCCTGGATGAAACATAATCTCCGAGAAATGTTCAAGGTT